TTTGAAATCAGGTATGAAATGATGCCAAATCATCTAAATGACATAAGCATAGCATGCTAGGGACATGAAAACACAAGGCTAGCAAGGCTAATTGCATTACAGCTATGTAATCCATGAACCACATGGCCCAAGACAACCCAAAATAGTCCTAGAGCATGTCATAACAATGCTAAAACATGCATGGACTAAAGTTAACACATGCTAGAATTAGAGGCATAAAGCATGGAGTATATAATGCCAAAGAGGAAGGTTGCACTACACCTACCAAAACTAAGCATGGGATGATTTCACCAACAAAAATTAGAGTTGTATTATGGCAAAACAAGACCAAAAACACACTAAAATTGTGGCCCAAAAGCCTAGGCAAGATGACATACACAATGGCTCATTTTTAAGGCATAAAGCACCAACCCTCCAAAGCATTGAAAGAGTGAAAGATGTGAAGACATGGCAGTGAAACATGCTCTGAAATCACATACCAAATGATGTCAAATCATGCAAATAGCCCGAGCAATGCATGCTAGTGACTTGAAAACTCAAAGCTAGTGAGCTAGAATGCACTATGGCTATACAAAGCAAGGCATGCATGACCAAAACAACATAAAACAGAGCTCAAGCATGGTAAAACATGAACAAAAGCTTCTTTGAGTAAAGCCAAAAGCATGCTAGAATGATGGTCCAAAGCATGATGCATGTTAGGCTAGTGAATGGAAATGCACTATAAGTGCAAGGAGCATGCAAGATGCTATCAAACCAACCTAAAACATAGCTAAGACATGCTAAAACAACACCAAAAACATGCTGCGATAGAGCCAAAATGGGCTAGCAAGACATGCTAAAACATGAGGCATACAAGGCTAGTTTGCAAGGATTACACTACGAGTGTATAAAGCATGCAAGGGTGGCCTAAACTAAGCCAAAATAGAGGTACACCATACTGAAACAAGGCCAAAAATAGCCTGAGATGGAGCCAGCATATGCTAGATAAACATGCTCAAACATGAGGCCAATAAGGCAAGCAACCAAGACACACGGAAAGGGGATGACCCCCTCCTATTTGGGACCTCAAAACACCCTTTTCACCACTGAAATTCCTCTAAGTTTTAGTGGTGAGAAGGCCAAAAGGAGGTGGTCCCAATAGCTTAAAAGGATAGCACAAAAATAAAGCCAAACAAGGCACAAGAGGGGGTAGACCACCACCAACACCAAAGAAGCCTTAAACAAACATGTTAAGCACTAAAAATTAGAACTTTTTACAGTAGAAAGTCAATCCAAAATAAGCATGGAAATAGGTCCAAAAGCTTAATCAAAATAAAGCTTAAAAGGGCTAGTTGACTCACCCCTGAAGAACAACTTCAAAGCTGCACCTCCAGCAGCTTTTCTGAGTTCAAACCAATCCAAAAACACCAAAACCAACTTCTACATGCCTCAACTCCAAGAGTATGGTGTTTCACTCTGTGTTTGTGTGAAAAAGTGTGAAGAAACTACACTTTTGAGCACAAATACGAAGCAAAGGAGCAATATAGAGATAGAAGTGTATGTATATTTTCCTAAGCAATTTTCTGAACCCAGAGAAGGGAGAGAGGGCCTCCCTTATATAGATGCAATCTCTCCATACACGTGTATGGAGGATGGTTTCTGTGCTTACCAGCTATCACCGCTGGCAAGAAAATATCTGCAGGAAACTACAGGAAAGCTGCCGACCACTTGAAGTGGTTGGCTAGCTACATACACTGGTCGGCCGACTACTTAAAGTGGTCTGCAAGAAGACCAAGTGGTCGGCAGGGGGGAGAGGTGGTCTACACCAAGAAAACAAAGTGGTGGCATGGCTGCTGACCACTTTTGGTGGTCCAAAGGCCACCAAGACCAGTTGGCCGACCAGAAAACTGGCTGGTGGGGAAGAAAAGTGGTTTTCATGGAGAGAAACTGGTCTCCAACCCTCATTCCACCCTCCAAGCAAGGAAAACAAGGTTTGTGCCAAAAACAAACCAAAAAGGATGCAAGACAAGAGTTCGGGGGGCGAGGCGCGTAGCTGGAAGCCTCGAAAACTAGTCTACGGGCACCAAAAGTAGTCTACAGGAGGGAAAAGTGGTCTACGGCCACAAAAAGTGGTCTACAAGACCTCTGTGTCCCTCTAGACCAAGGCAAATAGGCATGGTCCAAAAACCAAGCCAAGAGGAGAACGTTAAGCAGTCCCAAGACAAGGCGCACGACCGATGGCTCCGGAAATCGGAAACTAGTCTCCAAGAGGGAAAAGTGGTCTACAGACCCTTCTCTCCCTCCAGGCAAGGTCAACAAGGCTTGGTCCACAAACCAAGCCAAAACACAAAGAGTTCAGAGGCCCGGAGGCAAGGCACTCAGAAAACTTCCGGAAACTCGAAACGAGCACAAACATGCGCAATCACCGAGCGCTCAATTGATGACGTCTGAGTCTTAAGGTCGGTCAAAAATGGGGTGTCTACAACACTGTACAACCATTCCAAAGGTAAGTGCGTACATCACAAAAGTTTTCAAAAGTGACGCTTAGCCCACAAATTCAAACTTGTCAAGTCTTACATACACAAAAACCCCTATACCAAAAATCAACTAAGAGTTCATAACAAAAGGAGGGTTCAGACTTTGCTTGGCTCCTCACGAGTTCAAGTTGGCTCTATCTCGAGAGCTCCACAAAAGGTTGACCACGGGGTGACTCCGAGGCGATCTCTATCAATGATGCCCAACTTGCTCACCTACATATATATACATAAATAATGAGCTGGTGCCCAATGAGTAATAACAGAATACAGAGGTTATATAAATGAAGTTCCACACCAGTACAAATATCAATTAGATTAGCCATCATACCAATCCTTTGCAATAACAGAACCATTGTTCAATAGCATTTTCAAAACAATTTTGATTTCAATACAATTCTCAATAATCCATGTTATCTCGATAGCATTACACACTCAATGACAATTTACGTAGAACATCCAATAGAGTAACAATGTATCAATAACAGTGGGACAACAATGGGTCAATCAGTGGGACCGCAATGGGTCAATCAATATATTTTATCCAATGTGACCATTAAGGTCTAATTGCAGAGATCTCTGTATTTCAATTATCCAATGGGCCACGATATTGTTTCCACTGGGCGAGGGCCAATGGGTCATGGATTTATTTCCCCAGACAAAGGCCTCTTTATCAATGGGCCATGGTATTATATCCCAGGCGAGGGCCTCACTAAAGAATGCCACGAATACATTTTCAAAAGGGAACTTCATTCATTCATAAGAAACTAAAGTTTCAAGAAACCATTCGATGAACAATAATAGGTTTGATCAATCATCATGACGTTTTAATAAACCTTTCGTTTCAATAAGCCATTCAATCATTCATATACCAATTTTGATAACAATAACATTTTCAAAAATAAATATAACTCGAACATATCTTTATAGAGTTATTACTCACAGTGAGTTACGCTGTCACTAGGCCTTGAATGTCCACCTATACAAAACACATAACTAAAATGCAATTGGAGTACTGTTCGATAACCATGTTGTTTTAATTAAATTTTCCTCACGTGCTTCTAACTCATTCCATGTTTATGTGAGCTCAATTGGTGCCTAAGAGTACTTGAAATAACATGAGGATGTAAGTATGCACTTAAAAGAGTTAGTCAAACTTTGCTGAAAACAGGGTCTCCGCTTGAGCGCAGCTTCTTTAGCTCAAACGGGGATTCAAAAATAAAGGTGGTTGCTCGAGCGAAACTTCTGTTGCTTGAGCGGCCTGTAAAGTACTTGTTGCATGTATTTTCCGCTCGATGGACGCTTAACGGTCACTCAAGCAGAAGACTGAGTAAAAAGGGTCTTCGCTTGACGCAACTTTGGTCGCTCGAGCGGTCTGCAAAATTTTGTAAAACTTTTGGGAGCTTGATTTTTACACTCGAGTAACACTTTCTTCGCTCGAGCAGAAAGGCCGAATTATGGAATTTCTAGACTTGTGTTTGCAGTTCAAATTTGATATACAAAGGTCCAAAACTTGTATTTTTAGTACAAAAACATGGGAAAACATTTTAGAACTTGGAAATATAGTCAATTTGAAACCAATTGCTCAAATTCATGGACCTAATTCTCAAAATCAAACTTAAATCATTGAGTTAGAACCATGCATGACATGTATTGCCCTCATCCTTTCAGGACTTGATCAAATGGCATGACAAGTGTAAAAACATGAAGAACTCTCCAAATAAATGTGTAAAAGTCCCATGCATGTAAGAATTCATAGAAAATTGAACTCAAAGATGAAGGCTTATGCATGCATGTATGCAATTATACTCAATTCTTCCATAATCAAGTCAATCCTTTCTACTTACATGCAACTAGACTCATAACTTCTTGAATTCATGGCCTACATGTTTTATTTTCAAGATTTAAGGGGGAATTCCATACCTAGGATGTGAATTCAAGTGTTGTCTAGCTCAATTCTTCAAATCTTCTACAATTTTCTTCAGATTCCTTTCTCTCTCTCTCTCTCTCTCTCTCTCTCTCTCTCGCGCGCGCGCGCTAAATGTGGAGCTTAGCTTCCTCCTCTCTCAAATTCTAGGCCCATGTGTTTGTATAAGTGAGTTCAAAGCATGTGCTAAGCTTATATAGGGTGTAATTAACTTAGCTTAATCAAAGTTGATTAAGGTTAATTAATTAGGCTCATTTCTAACTAAGTTTAATCAGTTTATTCTAATTATTTTGGTCTGAATCAAATTTTGACGAAAATTACTATAAAATTCAAAATATTTATTGGGCTAGTCAATTTTAGCTTCTGAAGCTGTTCGGGCTATCAATTTCTGATTTTAAGTCGATAAGTGAACAGATATTCCAAGTAATAACAGATAATTACAAAATTAAGCATGTAATCACACAATCATGCAATTAAACTTATTGAATCAATATAATATGATAGCATGGAGGTCGAGTTCATCACAATCTCTCCCACTTAGAAAGTTTGGTCCTCCAAACTTAAGTTTCCTTCAAACGGAAACAAGTGCGGATATCATTGCCGCATCTCATCATCATTTTCCCAAGTGGCCTTTTCCCATAATGGTCTTTCCACTCGACCTTCACCATAGGGATAGTTTTGTTTCTCAATTTCTTTACTTGTTGATCAATAATTTTCATGGGCCATTCTTCATAAATCATATTCTTATCTAACGTAATCCGATGGTGGTCAATCACATGGAACGGATCTCTAAGATACCCACGAAGCATGGACACGTGAAAGACATTATGCATTTGTTCCATCCCAGGTGACAAGGTGATATGGTAAACAACAGGACCCAACCTTTCAAGAATCTGGAATGGCCCAATGTAGCGAGGAGTCAGTTTTCCCTTTTTGTCAAATCTCATCTGTCTTTTCATCGGTGTTAACTTTGATAAACACTTGATCTCCCGCTTCATATTCTAAGTCTTTTCTTCGCTGGTCCGCATAACTTTTTTGACATATTCTAACACTTAGAATTGAAGTGGGCTATCTCTCTTTTCATGTTGGGCCACCAATATACTAACTTCAAATCATAGTACATTTTAGTGTTTCTTAGATGCATGGCAAACACTAACTTGTGAGCTTTCTCTAAAATTTTCCTTTTTAAGCTGCTTCATTAGGAATACATAACATTCCTTGAAATTTCAACACGGAATTTTCAATTGTGAACCCCGATTTATGCTTGGTGTCAAATTCATCATAAATCTTCTTCAAAAACTCATCATTCTTTTGCTTTTGTTTGATTTCTTCAATAATTACAAGCTGTGCGGATATTGCATCTATCAAGCTATCTTGTTCAAAAGATACCACTTCAATTTCAAGTCGTTCAAACTCTAATAGCAATTCTTCCTAATCTGTGAGCAAACAGGCTAGATTCTCCACATTCTTTCTACTAAGGGCATCTACTATAGTGCTGGCTTTGCCCGGATTGTAGTGAATCTGTAAATCATAGTCCTTGATCAGTTCAAGCCAGAGTCTTTGTCGCATGTTCAATTCCTTCTGGATGAAAAAGTACTTTAAGCTTTTATGATCGGTGTACACTTCACATTTGGTTCCATACAGGTAGCGACGCTATATTTCAGTGCAAACACAACTGCTGCAAGTTCTAGGTCGTGCGCTGGATAGTTTTTCTCATGTGGTCTCAGTTGCCAAAGAGTCCAAATCCGACAAATCTTTTGTAAAATCGATTTTGAAACAAAATGCCAAAAATGGATTGCTTTGCCAAATTACAAAGTCACCATCTAAATATTTTTGGGAAATTTAGGAACCCCATGACTTGTGCCAAAGGCCAAGATTGTCTCGACTCGGGAACTTAGGTATGAGAGGGGAAGGTCATGAATTGAGGCCCCCATTCGTCCGATCAAAGATCGATCTCTACTAATCATGATGTGAATCTTATTTACATTATATGCTTTTGTTCTGGTTATTAGGCTAACATTACTATGTGTTGCACACAAGTATAAACTTATTTGCAAAAATTGGAACACTTTGATTTCATGTTTGTTTTGAAAATTGTTTCGAATATGTACCACTTGAAAAAGTGATCGCATATGTACATTACTCAAATTATTCCAATTCAAGCAATTAGCCTTCATCCACAGGCATTCAAGCGAGTATATCAATTAAGCACTTAGCCCCAAGGCAAGCATGCTAAACATGGCAACAATTATACGCATGCGATATGCTAAAGCACAAAAATGCTCACCTCGTACTCCAAGGCAAGACAAAAGAAACAAAAGAGTTAGAAAACATGCATGCCCCTAATTAATGCAACATGACTAATGCAACACATGTAATGATGCAATTAATAGGCTCAACTACTAATTATGGGCTTTGAATCAATTTGGAAGCATGTGGTTTTAAACACGTATTCAACGAAGTAATAAACAACAATGCTTGTTAGAATGATGAACTAAGCCTCAATGCATGCAAGACAAGTGGATGCAAACATGGAAAGTGCTAAACAAAATATGATGTGCTACACTATCCATCATAAGCAGGTAAATAAAAGGGAGAAAGACATGTGGTTGGAAGACATACACATTATTACAAGTTTTACCTTCATGCAAGAGGGTCCGAATGAATGTTCGAGCGTCCAAATTAAACTAACTATTACAAAATGAATGAATGAATTAAACTAAGCTAACTACTTTTTACAAATTCTAATGAATACCAAAGAAATGAACTAGCTATCTAAGTTAACTAGCTATAATAATTACAAATAAACAATGGCTACAACAATAATAATTAATTACAACAATAATAATTAATGATTAATCATCAAACAAGGATGTACAAGGATGCACAATGCTCGCATGCGCAGCGTCCAGAAACTGCTTTGTTTGCCTAGACCATTCGGTTTCACTTTCAGCCACTACCCTCTGTTTTCTGCTAAACATGCTGCTAACCAAGCATTGGAGCCCGACCAGCACTAAATGAGGCCCGACCAGGCCCAAATAAGGCCAATCATGCCCTATTTTTGTGAAAAGCCCTGTTTTTGTGCTCTAAAGTGAAAACAGTGTGGACAGAATTATTCTAAACTCTGTATGTCCCTTCTGCTCTTCTGTGTCATGGAAAGCCTCAAGAGAAGGATGAAGTCATTTCCAAACCATCAATGAGCAAATTGAATGCTTGATGAGTTACGGCATGATTTTGGACAAAAATTAATAAAAGCAATGAATCAATAACCACCCCTATCTCCTATCATGGAGTAAGCTCAAAGAGGGAGGTAGGAACGCTTCAAGGCTCATCGAAACATCATGAATTGATGTAAGACGACCCTTGACACAATAGACTCAACATAACGTCTGGCCGAATCCAAACAATATGACTCAATTTTTTTTATGTGGGTTGGATCATTTTAGCAATTTTTAGACCTTTCTATTCCTTAGTCCATTATAACGATTAAGTCCTCTAAAGATTATGTCCACTAAATGAGAAGCATGTCAAACGGGAAGTGATTCTCAACATGAAAGACAGACTATGTCATTGGCGATGAACCTCTGTAGGGATTAAGCCATTAAGCATATATCTCTTGCTCATGTTTTGAACAACCATTAACCGATTAAAACAACTCTCAAATGAAACAAATGAAGGGTAAATTGATTATTAAAATGAGGCTCTTAACATGGAAATTAAACAAAGAAAGGCCAAGAACAACATACAACAAGCTATATATGCAAACTTATGAGACGACAAGCAAACTAATCAAAGCATCAACTAATTAAATAAATTAGGACAGCTCTAAAACAACCTCTAATAGGCTAAAACAGTGGCCAAAAATTATGATGAGAACATGGAAAAAAATATAAAGGAATAAGGCAAAGCAAATGCTAATAAACAATGGTAAGGAGAGGTGGTTAACCTCTCCATTTTTTGGAACCTCAAAGCATGTTTTTTAACCTTTATTGAACTCTAAAAATCAGTTTGAAAGGTCAAAGAAAAGAGTGTAGAGACAAGAGTTGAGCTATGAAGTAATGTGTAAGAGAGGGTGTCAACCCTCTTTACCCTTTGGTAGCTATTCAAACCCAAGTTTCAACACTTGAACTAAGATCAAAACAATACATAGACACAAGAAATGGATAGAAAATGATAGAAAATGAAAGCAAAAGCAAGAGCTACAAGCTTATACCTCTCAAATGTAGTAAGCTTTGGTTGTTGATCAAACTCAATCCTAACACACTCTCAAGCTTGAATTGTACTCCTCAAGGTTCAACTAAGGTTCCAAGGTTAAGGTTTGAGGGTGTGTATGGAGTATAGAGATGGCTTAAGGGTGACAAGCTTGTTCAAATATGACTTGCACAAGAAGAAGGAGCTCTCAATGTGTGTATAGGCTATTTTTAAATTCAACCCTTAAAACAGAGGTATAACCTCGTTTTTATAGAATTTGAGCAAAACAAGTCAGAAATATCTCCAAAAATAGACAACTGGCGAGCACCTGCCTAGAACAGTGTCTATCGCCATTGAGGCATGGCCAGCCCGCAATGAGGTATGGCCGACCCGCAATGAGGCACAGCCGGACCCACAAGTGTTCCCCTGTTTCTCTGTTTTAAGCTCAGTGTAGAGCAACACAAGGTTCAAAAATAAAATTCAAGGGTTTAATCAGTGTAGATATGAAAGGTTTGAGATTGTTTTGAGCGCCTGACCTAGGTAGAGAAGGCGAATCATGCACAATACTATGTCATCATCGAGTGTACAGGACAAAGCGCACAAGTCTTATGGCCAGTCAAAAGTGGGGTGTCTACAGTTGCCCCTCTTTGACAGAACTCGAAGTCATGAAATGACATGAGTGAATGTCAAAGCCCAGAGATGAACCTTTTTGACAAGGCCGTAAGACTTGGGAAAAGAAATCAAGACATAAAATGCAGTGGTTGAACTCGAATTGCCTACGTATCCCTTTTCAAGGAATCAAACTAACATAGTTCAAGGGTGAGATGCAAATGATATGCACAACAAAATAATTTATGATCATGCAATGAAGTAATGCAAAAAAACATTTGAATGAAAGCCAACAAGTGATGAAATAACATCACAAACCATAACAAAAGTATAAACCAAAGAAAAACAAATCAAGCCGTGTCTCACACAGAAAGAAGCGAGTAAACAAACATGTCTCTCGTAGAGAGGACGTAAGAAAATACAAGTCTATCTACATCTCATACAAAAAGGATGTAAGAAAATGAAAACCTACCTACGTCTCATACAGAAAGGATGTAAGACAAATGCAAGCCTAAAAGGTGGTGTGAAACAACTCTAAGCGCATCTCACTCGAAAGGAGGAATGGTGGTGTGAACAACAGGAGCACCTGTTGTTTTTAACCGAGAAAAATAACTCTAAGCGCGTTTCATGCGAAAGGAGAAAGGGTGCTGTGAACAACAGGAGCACCTATTGTTTTTATCCAAGAAAAATAACTCCGAGCGCGTCTCACGCGAAAAGAGGAAGGGTGGTGTGAACAACAAGCGCACCTGTTGTTTTTAACCGAAGAAACGACAACTTGACGTGTCTCACGCAAAAGGATAAAAGGACAACCTAACGCATCTCACGCAAAATGACGAAAGGTGGTGTGAACATCAAGCGTACCTGATGTTTTTAACCGAGAAACAACAGCCTAACGCGTCTCACGCAAAAGAAGGAAAAGTGGTGTGAACATCACGCACACCTGATGTTTTTAACCAAGCAAATATCAACCTAACGCATCTCACGCGAAAGGATGAAAGGTGGTGTGAACATCAGGCGCATCTGATGTTTTTAACCAAGAAATATAACTCCAAATGCGTCTTACGCGAAGGAGGAATTAAATCAACGAAAGAGCCAAAAACACTCAGAACTCGACACAGTGAGACTGGAAGACTTCGAAAATGAAGCTTACCAAGATGAGTCAAAATCAAGGTACAGTGTAAACACAAATCATGCGAAC